TAATTAATATCATTATCTATAATCTTCCTCTGCAAAAGAGTAATTGGGGCTAAAATACACTTTTTCTTCTAAAAATATTAATATATATAAAGTCATAGTTTATCTACTTTAATTTTAAAAAATTAAAAGGAAAAATGATAAAAAAAATATCTTAATTTATATTTTAAAAATAAAATATTTTAATTTTTTTAATAAATATTTATTAAAATAATAAAATTTTAAAATAATATTTCCTTTTATATATATAGTACACCTGGCATTGGTGATCCCCTATTTATATAAAATATGTCTTATGAATTAGCAATCTCCTAAAAAATAATAACAATAATTGAGTCGTTTCTTATAAATTTAGCATTACAAAATCTCATATACGTTGGCAGTCGGTGCTAGTGGCAATTGGCAAGAAACCAGGCTTTACCCCTTTCTCTATTTTTGGTTCGTTCTTCATCCTCCATTTATATTTCTCTTCTTCGATCCGTTTTCTCATTCGTTTCAAACTTCAAATTGTTTTCAAAACCCTTAGATTACGCCTCAAATCAACTTCTTCATACCCACAATATCTCTCTTCAATCTTTATTTCGATATTCATTCTTGGGTTCTTTCTTTTTTACGGTTATACTCAGAAGAGACGAACGGAAGAAGAAATGGCGTCGAGTATTGGAATGATGGATAGTGCCTACTTCGTGGGTAGGAATGAGATATTGACCTGGATCAACAACAGCCTCCAGCTCAATCTCTCTCGTATTGAAGAGGTAATCTACCTTTTTCTCTCTGGGTCGATGTACATTTTGTTAAAGATCGTTTCTTTGTGTTTGTCTTGGTGAAATTTATGGATTCGTTCATTTGTTTGGTTATTGCAGTGAGTGTGAGGAAAGAAGATGGCTATGCTTTGAAATGGTTTTTGTTTTGTCCCTTTTTTTTTGTGGGTTTCTTTGCGGCATTTCAATTGTCTCTTGTGTTTGACAATTTGCTGGTCCATGGTGGCGTCTTTCATCATGCTGCATTGCTGCTTTATCTGTTTTGATTTATTTAAGGAGTTTTACAGAGGAATATAAATTATCCGCTTGTAATTTCAGACCTTATCCATCAATGGGAACTTATAGTCTTAAATGATCTTTGATGTGTCAAGAAATATTGCCAATGTAGTTGGATCTGTAGGTGGACATGGTCTAATTAACTCTGAAATGGTGATTTCGTTGTATATTGCATGGAGTTTATCTAATAATCGGCTTTCTAGAGCTAAGGTGTAAATTCTAAGTGCTCAACTTCTTAAATTGAGGTCCAAGGTTGATTTGGAGATCATGATTTTGTTTAGCATTTTTGCTTTAGACTATCACTCTGAGATTTATACTTTCCATCTTACAATTGTTACATTGTCAATTTGTCATCTCTAAACTTCTATTTTTGCAGTAAATATGTACCCAAAGGAGTTTGATTGTTTTAATCATAAACTTTATTTTGTTCAATATTCAAAGTGCTCATCTTGCTACACTGAGGTCTAGGGTTTATTTGGATGTCATGATTTTGTTCAACATTTTTGCTTAAATTTATCACTCTAAGATTTATACCTTCCATCTTGCAATTATTACATTGTCAATTTTGTCATCCATAAATTTCTATTTTTGTAGTAGATAATACCCTAAGAAGATTTATTGTTTTGATCATAACTGATTCTATTGTTGTTTAGTTTTTCGTTTCTACGGGAAATTGGTATGTCTGCTTTTGTAAGAAAACTTGCTTATTTTCTTAATTTCCTTTTTTCATTTCTTTTTTTTTGAAAATTAAATCAATCTTAGTTTAAGGATTGCATAGTCATGGCCATTTAAATTTTAATGCTTCTACAGTTGCATCAATTATAAGTTTTGCGATCCTCTTATACTTTCCTTGACATGAAATGCTTATTGCCAGGCTGCATCAGGTGCTGTTCAATGTCAGATGATAGACATGATCTATCCAGGGGTTGTTCCAATGCACAAGGTGATAAATAGCCCACACATCTTTCTCATTTATGTACTTGATTGAACTCCATCTTGAAATGTTTCTTTGATTTTGTTTGGTTGGTTTAGGTGAATTTTGATACAAAAACAGAATATGACATGATCCAAAATTACAAGGTTCTACAGGAGGTGTTCAATAAGTTGAAAATTGATAAGGTGATTGCATCTTTGTATACAATCTTTTGTCTTTTTGTGCTAAGTGAAGCTTGATACCCTTTGCCTTTCTGTTTGTCAAGAAATCACATCTTCATAGTCAGTTTAACACTTTTTTCACTTTTTCATGAGAAAAGTAAGGTGTTTCTTTGTCCCTCATTCTACTTAAATAGGCCATTTGATCCAAGTGGGGATCAGTAATTGGTCTTGATATGTGTCTGCTAAGCAGCTTTAGGATATCAAACTTGCTCTCAACTAAGATTCAAATTGGCTTACTGATAATTTTGCTGTATGGCAGCATATTGAAGTCAATAGACTTGTTAAAGGCCGGCCTTTAGACAACTTGGAGTTCTTACAGTGGCTGAAACGTTACTGTGATTCTATGAATGGTGGCATTATGAATGAGTAAGCTATTTTTGCTTTGATTTTATTCTGTTTGTCCTTCTCAAGTACAATTGTTTATGTTATCCCATTTGGTTTTTTGTCTCTTGTTTCTGGATCCTTGTAGGAATTATAATCCCATTGAACGACGAAATAAAACTGGAAAGGAGCGGAACTCAAGGGTTCCTCAGAAGGGCTCAAAATCTTTACAGGCAAATAATATGCATAACTTTGCTTCTGGAGATTTTGCTAGCCTAGGTAGAACTTTGAGATTTTGTACAAATAAGGACACTAAAAACTTTTCAAATTAATGATATCTTTTTTCTTTACTAATCAAGTCTTCCACCTTTCAAAAGTTTCTAAGACCTTTGTGTTTTACCAACGAAGGATTAAGTGGATGTGTGTGGTCATATCCTTGTTTAGAAACTTTTGAAAGATGGTAGTCTTGATTGGTAAGGAAAAAATGTCATATCCTTAATTAGAAAAGTTTTGAAAGGTTGTGTCATTATTTGTATGAAATCTTGTAAAAGTTTTTGTCCATTTTATGCTGAATTTCCTTTTTGTTTATATTATAATTAAGTATAATGTTATTCTTCTTGTTCCTTTAATTCTCCTCATGGTTGTTGGGTGCTTGTTGCTAATTCTAGATGATTGTTTAATGCTTATTGTTATAGTTCCAAAGCAAGGGAAAGCTTCTGTATCAGCAGCTTCAGCAGATGTTCAGGCCTTGTTTAAGGAGGTAAATAACATTGAAGAATTTTCTAGTATGGTAGGTAATTATGCATTGAAAGTCAACACTTGTTTCATGTTTCTTTGTCACAGATTACAGATCTCAAGCTTTCTGTTGACCTTCTGGAAAAGGAAAGAGATTTTTACTTTGCCAAGTTACGGGATATAGAGACACTTTGTCAAACTCCTGAATTGGATAACCTTCCAGTAAGGGTTTTCATGAAACCTTTTGATTTACTGGTTTTTCAGAATTGATATATTTTACATTAGTGTTGGAAATTGTAAGACATTTCTCATGTTTTTCATCATTCATCAACATAAAAGAAAGTAATTCTTTCCCACTCATAGCCTTGATCACCTGGGCTTAACCCAAGACTTGTAACCCCACCCTACATATAAACTCTTATTTGGGAGTGGTCCCATAAGGATAAATTCACAAGTTCATTGGCTGTTGCTTATGCCTCAACATCTTATGTTTTCATTGGCTATGGGATGGGCACAGATGTATTAGTGGTTAAAATATATTGACCATTGGCTCTACAGTATGTATTATGATTAGATATATCCATAGTCTTTTCGAGTGCTTAATATATTAATAGTTGAATGCTGCTTGATCATTTAGGATGTTCAAGCATTAAGAATAAAGATCTGAGCTTCAGTTAGGAATCTCAAGGTTTATGGTAAACTCTTAATCGGTTTCTCCCTGTTGAGCTGTTAAGAGTCCTACCTCACTGAATAAGATGAGGTGTCTTCAGTCTTGAGACAGATTATGTCATGATTATTTATGTTAACTTGGTCTGAATGTATCATAAGAGTCCATTTCTTTTTCATCTAATTTTCTTGCACTTTCCTTGAACCATCATATGCAGATGTCAATAGCAATTAAGAAAATTCTTTATACTGCCGATGCAAAAGAATCTGCACTCCCAGAAGCTCAAGAGTACATGAGCCACGTTGTTAATGCTGGTGAACCTAAAGAGGATGAACCTGAAGAGGTAGATGAGACAACCAATGAGATTTAACTAAATGGTTAGGCAATCTTGCAGGCAAAAGGTCTATCACCCATGGGGCCTTCTCAAACAAAAGCTCAATTCTCCAGTTAATCCTAATAATTTAATTGACGGTCTTTTTTTCTTTTTTTTCTTTTTTTTTTAATAAAATTTAATTGAAGATCTTGCACTGTGAAATTTAAGAATTGTAGACTGTTTCACTTCTTTTATGCGCTGATTACTATTAATCCTAAGAGCAACAGTATGAACTGCTGTAACACTATAAT